AGGTCTTTCACGCAGGCTCTACCACCTCCGATCGCTGAAAAAATGTCATGGTTAAAAACAACCATTTTCTCTCTGAAAATGACATTAAAATGACATTTTTAATCTTTGAAAATGTCAAATGTTTCTCAAAAATTGACTTCAAGATGACATCAATAATCCAATTAAAATAGGAGGAAATAATTAAAATACCCCAAACTATGAAGGGGTGTGAGATAAGCACCCAAACTTGCATATGTAATTTAAATTCCCCAAACTTTATATAAAATGCTATTTTAACACCATGGTCATGTATCATTTCTTTCAAAAATGTAAATTTATGATGTTAATTGCATAATTTAAAATATCAAATTGAAAACTTTGCAATTATATAGAGTGGGGGTTAGTACTTTTTATTTTACAATAGAAGTTTAGAATGTTAATTGTATCTTCATGAATGCTAAAATATTTTAAATTATGAAATTAACACAAAAAATTGACATTTAAGAAAAAAATATATGACTAAGGTGCTAAAATAACTATTTATATAAAGTTTGGGGTATTTAAATTACATATGCAAGTTTGGGGTGCTTACCTCACATCTCTTCAAAGTTTGGAGTATTTTAATTATTTTTCTCATTAAAATATCGTAAATGTTCTAATATACATTAATTGAAACCTATCAGTTATATTACTTTTTATTATTAATTGAAAACATTCCATTTATTAATTGCTAATTATCTCTGTTCCATAAAACTTGGCCATAATAACTAAAATCATCGTCAACAATTTAATATCATTGACCAAGAAAAGTCAATTTAACAAAATTTTATAAAACAGATGAGGTTATGCAATTCATTTAACATAAAAAATGATCATTTGGAAGAAATTATTTAAATTTTGGAATTAAATTGGTAAAATTGAAATTTAAATGACTAAAGTACTAAACCAAACAATTTTTAGGTGTCAGTTGGTAATCTTTTTCGTCTTTAGGATAGAAAATGTTTCCGTTTGTACTAGTTCAATTTCGATCTCGAACCAGACCTAATCAACTAGAGTTAAACAAATAAGATCAGACCGGATTGAACTGGACCAGAGTTTTTCCGCAATATGGTTAGGTCCGGTTCTATTTAGTGATTCGTGGCTTCAATGTCTCACCCCTATATTCTAGAGCTAAAAACATAACTATGATTCGGTCAAATTTAAACTCGAGCTAGCTCGTTAGAGCGACAGAGCGAAGCTCAAGCTCAATTATATTTGGCTTGTGACTTGTATGTCTAGAGTCCCGATCCTGTCAGGCCGGCTTGACGGAAACTGCCGTCAAGCCGAGGCCATCAGAGGCCCTTCCCGGTGGAATTTTTTGATGAATTCTTTTGAGCATGTTCCTCATCAAGTCTAGTTTATCCATACCAAATTTCAGCTAAAAATTCAATCGGGAAGGCAGTTAAAAAAATTCCCTACTAAAACTGCGCAGTTTATATATAAATAATGCACAGTTTTAGTAGAGAATTTTTTTGACTGCCTTCCCGATTGAATTTTTAGCTGAAATTTGGTATGAATAAACTAGACTTGATGAGGAACATGCGCAAAAACTTTCATCAAAAAATTCGACCCGGAAGGTCCCCAAATGGCCTCGGCCTGACGGCAGTTCCCGTCAGGCCGGCCTGATACGATCTGTCCTCTGTATGTCTAATCACGATCTATTACATAAATTTACCTATTCATTATACGAGTATATATCTATAATGGTAGATTCTATGGTACCACCTTCATCCCAAATTGATTTGTAAATTTGACTTTTCTTAGTCGAATAATTTCATTTTATTTTCTTAATTAGGATGCCAATTTTTAATTGTATTCTAATTTGGAGTTTGTAACTTTGAAGAGAATTTAATGTAGTTTATGAATATTTAAATTTTAATGATTTAAAATTGAGTTAATTATCAATAGAAAGGTTTGACTTTTATTATTGGCTAACAAAAAACTATTGACTTTGTGAAACAATTTGGGACGGAGGGAGTATATATCTATAATACTAATAATTTGGAAATTGAAAATTTATTTGTGCTTCAACTCAAACTGAAGGTCGAGCATCTTATTCCTGCCCGGTGCTAGCCTTATAAAATCACGTCGAACTCGAGTCAAAATATCAAACTCGACTTGATATATGAAGTCGAGCGCACATAAGTTCAGTTCGAGCTCGACTTGACTTGTTTGCACTCCTTATGTATATATATGAAGTAGTTGAATTTAAAAAAAAAATGAATTTGTCAAGAATTTAATATTTTCAAATATGTAATACATAAATGCGCGCTCCAAATTTATGACTCATGTGAATTTAAGATAGCATCAAAAGGATTATGTTCATCCGAATTGAAATCATATATAGAGCGTGTTTGGCGACTCTTTTTCTCAGCTTCTCAAGTTTATCCGCCAATTTTTTAATCAAACACGTAAGTTTTGATTTCGTAAGCTAAATTGTGTAATGAATATGTTATGAGAGGAAAGTTCATGTTAGGACCTCCAAAAACGGACCTCCGTACGGACCTCGGCGTTTGGGCCCCTTCCCGGTGGAATTTTTTGATGAAATTTTTTGAGCATGTTCTGCATCAAGTCTAGTTTACCCATACCAAATTTCAGCTAACAATTCCATCGGAAAGGAAGTCAAATAATTTTTGGAAGTTAACTGCATTTTATATGTATATAAAGTGCCCAGTTAACTTCAAAAAATCATTTGACTGCCTTCCCGATGGAATTTTTAGCTGAAATTTGGTATGAGTAAACTAGACTTGATAAAGAACATGCTCAAAAAATTTCATTAAAAAATTCCACTGGGAAGGGGCCCAAACGTTGAGGTCCGTTTTTGGAGGTCCTGACAGGAACACTACTCATGTTATGATACACATACAAATCAAGATTTTCCCGTCAAATTGGCGCTTGTCTTGGTGAACATCTACTTTTTCTAAAGCACTTTTCACCCACTACAAAAACATCATACGTCCCTACATTTGAGTAATTGAAAACTATTTACAAACACATAACATTATGAACATACATATATAATGCTATAATTAAGATTAATTATGGCAATATTCTATGTTATGAAATTTCGATGTAAATCCCCTTTTCACCTACTTTGGAAAGGGTTGTTTGACTTTGTATATATAACACCATTTTACCCACTATAAATAAATCGCCGGTTACTTCATTTGAGTCAGTTGAAAATCATTCACAACACAAAACATCATTCTATATCTATGAGTCATATACATACATATAAATCACAAGAGTGAGCTAATGAGTGGTTTCTCATAAAGACAGGCAATAACTTGCCTCCATAACGTCCATATTCAGAAATAATGTCCAGGTTTTCTACATTCACTGTTTCGTTTTTCCTTTTTATTATAGCTTGAGCACTATATATTTTGTGTTTATACGGAGTATTAATTAATATATTAATAAATATAATCAGTATTTATTGCATAACTGTTTGCATCACTATTTACCATTTACATTACTATTTCTAATAAAATAATAATAATAATAATAATATAAACTGCATTTGCATTCATTGTACAGTATACTACTACATGTGTAATATTGTCATGTTTTGGAAGTATCAGTTTTTTAACTTGACAGTATTTTTCAAATTTGACAATAATTACACGGTTCCATCTATTTAGAGATTAAAAATGTGATCGTTCTATTTTGGCGATTTTAAAAACATGACAACATACTTTGTCACATATAACATCTAAATATGTGCAAAACAAAAAATTGATAATCTTTTGGAATAAATGCAGTTATATGCCAACCTATAATTAATTGGAGGCCATATGTATTCAACATGGCAAAAATGTAAAACACTATAAATAGTTTGAAGAAATCAAACTTGGGATCCACGAAGTTAAGAGTTTGTATTACGAAGTTAAAAGTACGAATTAGAATTCGATTTTTATCCTCTTTCCTTTTGAAACTTAACTTTAAAATTTGACAGAAATTTAAATAATAAGTATGGTGTTTTTTCCTTCAAAAATAAGTATGGTGTTTTTAATGGGACTGAAAACAACAATTTAAGCTAAGTGTTTAATTTAAGTAATAATTGTCACTTGAAAATTTATATTTTATCATTTTTAAGTTAAAAGTCGAAAAACACTCAAACATTCCTCCCTAAATATGATATGATGTAACTTTATAAAAATCTAATATCAAGTTCACACATTTGCTAACGTTTTACTAATAAATATAGAAAAAATGTCCTAAATAGCTAGGACTAAAATCGTTTATGTATTCCAAAATAGGCTCATTATGTTTCTATTCTTTAAATAAGAGTAAGTACTGTCATATTTTGGAAAAACCTAATTTTAAACATGACAGTATTTTCCAAGTTTGAAAATAACTACTCCTATTTAGAGAATACAAATATGATTGTCCTATTTTAGAATTTTCAAACGTTTTCATAAAATTGAAAACTAATAATAAAGTAAAATTTTGATAAAGATATCCATATAATGAGAAGTGATCAGGTCCAGCCGGAGGGACGGGAGGCGCCGTCCGAACTCCGCCGTTTGGGACGGTTCCCGGTGGAATGTTTTGATGAAATTTTTTGAGCATGTTCTTCATCAAGTCTAGTTTGTCCATACCAAATTTCAGCTCAAAATTGGACCGGGAAGGCATTCAAATCATTTTTTGAAGTTGACTGCGGCAAAATATACATATAAAAATGCAGTCAACTTCAAAAAATGATTTGAATGCCTTCCCGGTCCAATTTTGAGCTGAAATTTGGTATGGACAAACTAGACTTGATGAAGAACATGCTCAAAAAAATTTCATCAAAATATTCCACCGGGAACCGCCCCAAACGGCGGAGTTCGGACGGAGGCTGGACCGGGGAGGGCTGGACCTGATCTTTTTTGTCCATATAATTATATAAAGGAGAGTGAATGTATTTTAATCACTTATTATTTTTTCTAAATTGAAATGAAATTTTTTGAGACAATCTAAATAAAGAAAGTTTGACAAAATTTGAGAATGTAAAGAAATTAGATCTCCCTCCGTCCCAATTTGATGGTCTCATATTTTCTCTCCGGATCGTCTCAAATTGATAGTCGCATTTCCCTTTTTGGAAAGAAAGATGTGGTCCACATCGGTTCACCTTTTTCTACTCAAATCTCGATCAACAGTAAACGTGCTCTATTATACGTGAGTGTGAGGTTCACGTAATATTCAACACAAACCTGTGTATATAAGAAAACACACTTTCCAATTAATTTATCTAATTCGCACGTCTCATCAATTCAAGGAAACTCTCTCAAGAATTTCCTTAGGTCTTTCTTCCGTATCTGGTCTATTCGTTCGTCTCTTCAATTCTACAAAGTAATTATAAAACTTCATAATATTGTTAATTTCCGGACATTCTGTATCTTATGATGAACGCTGATTGACGTTTTTGTTGAATTTGATTTTTACATCTCAGATTTGATTGCCCAAGTGGTTTGAGAAGAGGAGGAAGGCTCAGACAAAAGTTCAGTGCTGAAAATCGTGAATTAATCTGTAAGTTGCGGTCTTATTTTTCTTCATTAATTGTCACGATTTCATGAAATTTATGGTTAGTTTTATGTAAATTTATTTCATCAATCGGTTGGTTATAGACCTTGTTTTCTTCATTTCGTTTTTGATTATATTGTTGTCCCGCGAAATTAATATTGAAATCTTTATCTGCTAACTTTAGAAAAAACTGAAGATCCTATAGCAAAAATGTGGTTACATTGAATGATTGGAGGAGTTGTATAATGAGATAGATCGTAGAGTTTGCTTCTTAATTGTTGAATAATTTTTTATTTTGCTTCTTAATTGTTGAATAATTTTTTATTATGCTTCAATTCATTGAGCATTTGAGCCAACAGAATACAAGCATTTCATTAACGATCACATGTTATAAAGTCGGTTCCATGTTCCAAGCTGTGATGTTTTTCCCTTTGATTTTGGAAAGCCATCAAACATGTTATCTGTCTTATCTCCCTGTCATGTTATGGATTATTTACTTGCCCTGGTCTTGTGTTGTTATTATGATTGGTTCTAATTTACATTTGCTTATTCTAACCTGCAGGTGGAATGATCTAATGGAGTCTAAAAGTGGGAAAAAGAAGTCTAGCAGTAGCAAATCCTTGTTCTACGAAGCTCCTCTCGGTTACACTATTGAAGACGTTCGACCAAACGGTGGAATTAAGAAGTTCAGATCTGCTGCTTACTCCAACGTGAGTTTAATTAGTTCATCTCCATTCTTGAATCTATCATGGTTTCATGGAGTCAAAATTATGTCATATTCACGGATTGCGCATATAATCTTCGTTTGTGTTCTTATTTGCAGTGCGCACGCAAGCCATCCTGAGATTCCCTGTGCTTCTTGATCATAACCACCCTTACTGGTGGAGTTATAGTGTAACTAGATCCTATTACCTGCTCTGTCATACTCTTTTTCTTCACTCGTCCTAGTTAATCCCCTCTCTGCGCAATCAATCTACTGAGTCAACTTTTAAGTCCAAATGGCATCTACAGCATCTGCAATTGGGTTTGAAGGCTATGAAAAGAGGCTTGAGATCTCATTTTATGAGTCTGGAGAATTTGCTGGCCCTAGAGGTCAAGACTTGCGAGGTCTTCGCAAAGAACAATTAGATGAAGTTCTAAAACCTGCTCAGTGCACTATTGTCTCATCATTAGCCAATGACTATGTTGATTCATATGTTCTATCTGAGTCTAGCCTCTTTGTTTACGCATACAAGATTATCATTAAAACATGTGGCACCACAAAGCTCTTGCTCTCTATTCCACCCATCCTAGATTTGGCCCTTGGGCTCGGCCTCAAAGTGAAATCTGTTAAATATACTCGTGGTAGCTTCATCTTTCCCGAGGTTCAACCATTCCCTCATCGTTGTTTCTCCGAAGAAGTCACCATTCTCGATGGGTATTTTGGTAAACTTGGTTCTGGAAGCAAAGCATATGTGATGGGTGGTTTTGGTACACAGAAGCAATGGCATGTGTACTCTGCATCTTCTGAATCTGAAGAAAACAAGCTGTTGCCAGTCTATACTTTGGAGATGTGCATGACTGGGTTGAACAAGAAGAGATCCTCTGTGTTTTTCAAGACACAATCAAACTCTGCTATGGATATGACTGAAATGTCTGGAATCCGGAAGATTCTCCCTGGATCGGATATATGCGACTTTGATTTTGACCCTTGTGGGTACTCCATGAATGCCATTGAGGGAGGGGCGATTTCGACAATTCATGTGACTCCGGAAGATGGATTCAGCTATGCAAGTTTTGAAGCGATGGGTTACGACTTCAAAGATGTTGTCAAGTTGGATGATCTCATTGAGAGGGTGTTGGCCTGCTTCCGACCTGCTGAGTTTTCTGTTGCTTTGCATAGTGATGCCCTTGGAGAGAAGCTTGATTCAGTTTTCAATATTGATGTGAATGGATATGTCTGTGGTGAGAGGAGCTATGAAGTTCTCGGAAAGGGAGGATCAATAATGTACTGTGGGTTCACTAGCATTGGAAGTGGCGGATGTGGGTCTCCCAGGTCGACCCTTCTCAGTTGTTGGAGCGAGAATGAGGACGATGAAGGAGGGATGAATCCTTCAAAGTAATAAAGTTGTTATCAACTCTCTCTTCTTAAGTACTATGTTGTCGAGTCTGACTTTTATTTCCTATCATTTCTACTTATTTGGAGTCTGGTGTGTCTGTTTTTGTTGTCCATGTGATTTGGTAAACTTAAGTTAATGAATAACTTCTATGGCCTATTTGTAATCGCATTAATATTGTTTGATATACCATCTATGGCTTCCTGCATTTGCTGCGTTTGCACTCTTATAAGCATTGTGATCCTGATGGATAATTTAGGGAAAGTTTGGGGATTTGAGAGGTTAAATTAAAAATAATATGGAAGAGATCTTGAACAAAGGGGGGAACTTTTTTATTAGCACAACTTGGGGGCTTAAATTTAACCTCCCTAAGTGCGGGTAGGAGGCTTAAATTTATACGGAGTACCAGTAGAACACTATGACACTATCTTGACTACTCTACGGTTAATGTATACGATTAATAATAAGAGAATACTAGAGTACCAAAAAGAATAAAAGGAAAAAGGGTCAAATTGACCTTTGTACAATTACAGATCGGTCACTTCACCCCTGTACTATTAAAAGCATCACATAACTCCATGTACTATCAAAAAACAATCAACTGAGTAAAAAAATCAAAGGTGACCTATCTATTAAAAGAATCACATGAGTCCATGTACTATCAAAAAACAATCAACTGAGTAAAAAAACTAAAGGTGACCTATCATAGCCGGTCATCCTTTCAATTTTCGTTCATATTTAATTATTTTTTATTTTCTTTCTGTTTCAAAGTAGACCACGTGCAATCATCCCCTTCCAAACATGGCTCCAGGATTTCGAGTCAAGGGGAGCGAAATTTTTTCATTAGTGTAGGGAGTGAAAAAATTTCGCTAGTAAGCGGAACGAGAAAAAAATCGCTAGGGTAGCGGGGCGAATTTTTTCGCTAGTGTAGGGCTCTGTGGCTAATTTTTATTTAAAAAGTTTCATTAGTACATACTACATACACGATGACAATTAAATCTATTATATTCTAATTCTAATTGTAGACAATGAAAAGATAACTTTGATTTAATAACTATAAGTGCTCCAGAAAAAAATATTGATACATTAAAGCTTAAGAAATGACAAATTAAAGGAAAATTATTTGAAAATAAGAAAGGATACGATATACGTAGTATAACATTTTATGATATTATTTGAAGGTAAAGTGCTTAAAGTTAAAGGTACACATCAACCAATGCTTCTTAAGTAACTTATGTCTTGTTTAACCACATGAATCTTAACAGTATAAAGAATTGATTTTTGAATTGAGATTTTTGTCTATCAAGAAGGGTATTTGTGGGTCATGATGAATTTTCTTAATGTTACAATAGTATGAATGAGATTATTATACTTAGAATAATATAATACGTAGTAATGTTAATTCATATATATCTGGTGCATATTATATTTGCATTAATTCTAAAAGAAGTTAAAGTATTATCTATTCAAGAAATTGTTTTTAAAAAGTAAGAGGTAAATGAAATGTGTAATTTAATGTCAACAAACATTTATACTATTTAACTATTGTATCTGATATTCAATATCTTTTGATATCTTACGAAATTGAGTACTAATTATCTAATAAAGATAATTAAACATTATAAAACTAAGAACTTTTTGGTACTCTGAGTCTTAAACAACGAGTTCTATTGTTTATTTGTTTAAGTTATGTAAATTATTTTAGATTCTACTTCTTTTAAATCTCCAATTAAGCATTGCATTATGTGAGCTTATATATTAATTTTGAAAACTAAAAGTTAAGGGGGGCGAAAACATATATACCTAATTAAAATATGAAAATTTTATAAAAATATTATATATACAGTAGAAAAATTTGGAAGTCCTAGGGGGCGGTCGCCCCCCGCCCCCCCGGATCCGTCCCTGAACATGGCTCTTAATTAAATTTTTCATAAAAAAAACGAAGCAAGGAAATTCGATGCGCGGACGGCTGGAGAGAGAGTATGAAAGGAGACTCACCTCAGCAAGATGTTCATTGTGTGATTGTGTCCAAATTTACTTCGAAATGTATATGTATACGTCGAAGTGTATACCGTATACGTATACACTACTAGCTATTAACATACGTGAATAGATTTGTAATTACTGATGTTATTATATTATTTTATACTAATAAACTACACTATATTTGTGAAATATTCAAGACACCAATAATCAATATTATTTATATTTTTAATATACAAATATTATTTTCAAATATTGTCCATTCAATTCCAAATGTATTTTCAATTTCATTGAAAATTTATACTACGTATGTTTTTTATCATTAATTTTTTTATTCATTCTTATAAGAACTGTTAGATTTTGAATGATGTGTTTTTTACCATTTAAATTTAATATATTATATTAGTAACTGTATTTTATGATTACTTTTCGACTAAATATTGATCAGATTTTTTTCGCGGATTAACCCGTGACCCACTACAAATTAAAAAAAAAACGTAAAAAAGTAAAACTTTAAAATTAAATAAAATAGATAAAACATAAAAAAACATATTAAAAAAAATATGGAGGTCTTTCACGCAGGCTCTACCACCTCCGATCGCTGAAAAAATGTCATGGTTAAAAACAACCATTTTCTCTCTGAAAATGACATTAAAATGACATTTTTAATCTTTGAAAATGTCAAATGTTTCTCAAAAATTGACTTCAAGATGACATCACTAACACATTTTTTGACATTTTTCCGGTGGTGGGAACTGATGCAGCCCGGAGGTTGTTGAGCTGGCAGCAGAAGCATATATGCATGCTTGCTTTTATATATCTAATTTTATGTTTTTTTTTTAGTTTTTTAATTTAATACTCGTTTCGTCCCACTAAAATTGTCTCATCTTTTCTTTTTGCTCTATCACACTAAGATTGTGGCATACTAAATTTGATAATGTTTATGTGGTTCTAAATCTTTCTTACTTTATTGTTACTTTATTAAATCAATATCAACCATAACAACCGACTTTTCTTAATTATCGCACCAACTTCTCATATGACATTGTTAGTGCGACGGATGTAGTAATTCTTATTTTTCTAATTTTTTTATTAATTTTATTTAATATTTATTTTCATTTTCATTTCTATTTTTTCAATAATAAAAATTACAAATAAATTTATTTTATTACAGCTATGTCTTAATCATTGAAATATGAGGTGTATTAAAAAAGAAAGGGTAGGATTGGAAAGGTAGTCACATTTAAAAAAATTTAAGTTAAAATCAAATTCTTGCAAATAAAATTTCATTTAGTCCTATTTGGGGAATCTCCCCTAGATTAAATTTATATGATCAAAAGTTACTCTCATTAATATTTTTTTTACTTTTATAATACGTAGTAATACATAAAAAAAAAGGGCCAAAAATGTATAGTTTTTCAACAAAATTGAAAATGGGTTTAGAATTGGATAAACAATATGTGAAAAATAATACTATCGTGTGTGTGTATATATATATATATATATATATTAAAATTATAAATAATATTGATAGATATTTTGAATATTTTACGAATTCTCCGTATATATATATATTATTAGTATAATATAATAACAAGAATAAAAATTAAAAATAGTTATTATTATTATTACAAAGTTATTTGTATTTAATAATAAAATAATAGTGTGTGGTTTAAGCTGTATATTAGTGTGTGGTTTAAGCTGTATATAATATCGAAGTAAATTATACCAAACGAACACGTAGCTAAGTTCGTATTCTGCTTAGGCCTGGGATCGGTTCGGTTCTTGTTAAAATTCGATGGAACCGTATAAAAATTGTAGGGTTTAAATTCGGTTCGGTTCTAGTTAAAAAAATGGTTGTTAAATTCGGTTCGGTTCTACTTAAATTCGGTTCGGTTCTTACCTTTTTTCGGTTCCTTATAAAATTTTACTATCCTCCTGAAATGAACACATTTTACCTTCAGTTAAATAAAAAATTCAAACTTTAAATCATTAAATTATGACCATTATATTATACGTGCATGATATCTCAATGTTCAAATAAATAAATAAATATATATATATATATATATATATATATATATATATATATATATATATATCCAAGTGCAACATTAAATTTCAACATAACAAAAATCTCGGTTTAAAATAGGCATCAACAGTCGAGCAAAGCTCAAGTCCGAACCTATAGGAACCGAACCGAACCGGAAATTTCGGTTCGGTTCGGTTCGGTTTTCCGGTTTTACGGTTCCAAGTCCCAAGCAGAAATTTTCTGCTTGAGACTTCTTAGCGCCAACTAGGGTTCGAATCTCCTTGGAGGAGATTTTTTTACTTTTTTACCCAAACTTTGGGTAGGACGCCAGGTCTAACTAAAAGTAGGGCTGAGTCCGAAAAACCAAAAACTGAAACAAATTAAACCGAACCGCGACCAAATATAATTGAACCGCTAAAAACCAAAACCGAATGTAAAAAACCGAACCGAACCGTAGTAGTATGGTTCGATTTTGGTTTTTACCCTTCAAAACCGAAACGAACAAACCGAACAAAAATAAAATATGAAATTTTATTTGTTAAATGTAAGCATTAATCTTAATATCATCAATAATCTTTGAATTTCTTGTGCTAGAGAAGTAATGTTTGTGCTATGTTTAGTTTAGTTTAGTTTATAAATGTATTTACACATTCATTGCCCATAATAATGTAGTTATATTGATCTATTTATTATGTCTTTTATGTATGTATGTTGCAATTTGTTGCATGATTATATGTTTTTACTGGTTATTAGTAGTAGTTAACTTTTATTTTTATGTAACTTAATTTTTTTTGTAACTTAAATTTTTTATATTGATAAAACAAATAAATATTCATCTCAGCTATATCACATAGGACGTATGTATTCATAAACTTTTTTCAAACTAGTCACAAACAATGTAAATTAAGAATACATACACATTTTTATCTCTCCCGCATACTTATATAATTCAAGACATATTTGTTTATTATTATTTTCTTTATTTGTTCAAGTATGCTTGCAATTTTATGTAATATGTTTGATCCCTCCAACTTTTATATCAATTTTAAATCAAATGACAAATTTTTAGTAAAAAATCGAAAAAACCGAAAAAACCGAAACCGAACTGAAACAAACCGAACCAATCAAACTGTGGTTCCAAGTTTTGGAGTGTAAAACCGAATCGAAACCGAACTTTTACTTTAATTTGGTTCTGTATTTGGTTTTAGGTCAAAACTGAACCGAAAGAACCGAACCCACCCCTAACTAAAAGTGAGAATAATGGAATACGTGGACTAAAGTAAAAAAAGAAAATGAAAACAAAATTAATATGTGAGAGAAAGAGTGAGGATGACTTGCTATTGAAGGTCACTTTTGGGGGTTTTGACTCAATTGACTGTTAATTGAAAGTAGATGGACTTGTATGATGCTTTTTATAGTACATGGGTTCAAATGACCGATTTGCAATTGTACAAGGGTGTATTTGACCCTTTTTCCAAAAAAAAAAGTACTGGAGTGACTTACCTTCTAGAGAAGTTTTATGCTCTGTTTGGATAAAGTGAAGTTAAGTACAAGTTAAGTACACCTAGTGCAATAAAGTAAACCTAAGTTTTAATTAAAACTAGGTTAACCTAAGTGAACCTAGGTCCATACGTAAAATAGTGTTTGGAAATATACAAGGTGAACCCAGGTTAATGTAATCAATGTTGTTTGGATGAATATTGTACACTAGCTTATTTTATGTTAAATGAGAACTTAACTTCCAAAAACCCCTGATTCGGAGGTTCTTCAATTTAAGGTTCTTCCATGTTCTCGGGAGTTAAGTGAGGTTAACGCATAACCTAGGTTCTTATTGCAAAAATACAAGCAAACGGGGTTAACTAGAAATTTAACCTTCAATAACCTATGTTAACCCCCAAACAAACAGGCCATTAGGATTTATGATGTTTTTACTTGGACTGTAATTTGCTGATCTGGTCTGGTCTGGTCTGGTTTCTTTGTATTTTTATAACTATCCAAGTCTGGTCTGGTCTGGTTTCTTTGTATTTTTATAACTATCCAAGTCTGGTCTGGTTTGGGACGAATTACAGTCTAAGTAAAAACATCCTTATGCATTCTACACTTTTTTACTATTTAGATCTTTTCAACAATTTAATTACTACGTACATCTTATTTAGGCACAGAAAACATTAAATAAAAACAAGTTTAATTTGATCAGCGAGTTATATTGCTTGTTTGAAGGTGATTAACTCCAAGTCTGGTTCGAGGGATGACGGTTGTCTGTGGTTCCTTACTTATTTTACTCCCTTTTCGAATGCTAATGCTTTGATTTCAATATAAGCTCCCCTCTTCAAAAAAACAAGTTTAATTTACTTTGTCAAGTACCTTGTTATCTGTTCCAAAGTGGAGGTCACATGTTCGAATCACATCCCAGTTCAAGAATGTTGGCTTTAACACAAGAGACCTTATGTACTTTATTAACAAATAATACGTTACACATATTTTATTATATTCATTTACGTATATAATCTTGTATTTAATATCATTTGTACACTTACCTTTAGCATAGCATAACTGTAGCCTAAATATTAGGATCTCATTTGTACACTTACCTTTAGCATAGCATAACCGTAGCTAAATATTAGGATCTTGTCTTACATAGTCATGAGATAAGCTCTCCTCATATTGTATATATATATACGTAAGTACTCGGCACTTCGTATGTACTAATAATATAGAATACTTTTCCAATTCTCCTTATTCATCTTTATGGTATCAAGAGCTACATCTCTCACGAGCTGATTTTTTTTCCGTCACCATGAACGTCGACGCCACCACCCCCATCGTGCACCTAACTGCCACCACTCACTTTCCCATCAAACTCACCGCCAACAACTTCCCTGTTTGGAAATGCCAAGTTCAGTCCGCTCTTATCGGACTGGGACTTGATGGATATCTCACCGGTACCACCGCCGTACCAGAATTGTTCATTGGTGCAGACAAATCCCAAGTGAACCCGGCCTACCAAGTTTGGTACCGCCAAGCTAAGATGCTACTCAGCGCACTTCTGGGCAGCTGTTCGGACACCATTCAACCCACCATCTCATCCGCTGTCACCGCAAAACATGCATGGGACAAACTGGCCGCCACCTTTGCTAGCGCATCACGTGGCCGTATCATCTCTCTCAAGACGGCCCTATCTCGGACAACCAAAGGCTCCAACTCTATCACCACCTATTTGGCCGAAATGCAAGGGCTTGCAGATGCTCTAGCCTTGGCTCAAAATCCGATTTCGGATGAGGATTTGGTCATTAACATTCTCAATGGACTCGGACCAGAGTATAACGAGATTGCATCAGCAATCCGGGTTCGTGACTCCCCTCTCCCCCTTGCTGAACTCCAAGATATTTTGCTGGAATTTGAGACCCGCAAACAGGCACAGAACAAAGATGTTGAAGCACTCATCCCTTCGGTCAATGCAACTCGGGTCACCCCTCGGCAAACTTACTCTGACCGTCCCTATGCTCCCGCATATGAGCGGCGCACTCCTGCCACCCGCCGTGGCCGCGGATCCTATGGGGGTAGTCCTCTGCCGCGCTCAACCTCCACGGTTGTATGCAAATTTTGTGACCATGTAGGTCATGACACTAAGGTGTGCCGCAAGCTACAACGGTTTCTACGTGAGAATAATATTGTTCCACCATCTCCGCCGGCTGTTCATCACACCACTGCCAACACTACTGCCGCAGCCCCGCAATGGCTTTGGAGATGTTTCCACTGCCAACACCACTGCCAACACCACTGATGTGTCCAAGCTACCCACCTACAGTGACTATGGAGGCCCAGAATCTGTCCAGCTTGGTAATGGTAAGCAGCTTGCCATCACACATACCGGCCACACTACCCTAACCACCCCACATAAATCACTTTCTTTGTCAAACGTTTTATGTGTTCCCCATTTAAATAAAAATTTAGTATCAGTTGCTAAACTATGTCGCACTAACGATGTTTCTGTTGAATTCTTTGACACTCATTTTTTTGTTAAGGACCGGACAACGGGGGCGCTATTGCTGCGCGGGGAGAACCACAATGATCTCTATCATGTGCCAGTCTTTCAACCACAAGTCCACCATTCCACCGCTCTGTCGTCCTCTCTATGGCATCATACACTAGGCCATCCGTCTGAACGCATTTTTAAATTTTTATCTAGTCATAATAAAAATATATCTTGTACTAGTCCTGTTTCTCACTGTAATTCATGTCTCATCAATAAAAGTACAAAATTGCCATTTTTAATAATACCATGTCCTCTAAAAAACCTCTAGAACTAGTCTATTCAGATGTCTGGAGCACTTCTCAACCCAGTCTAGATGGCATTAAATATTACGTCATTTTTGTTGATCATTTTTCCAGATATACCTGGCTGTTTCCCATTAAACAAAAATCAGACGTGTCCATTATTTTCCCGCAATTCCATAGACTAGTGGAAAAATACTATTCTGCTCCATTAATATCCCTTTTTACTGATAACGGGGGTGAGTATATTAAACTTAAACCATATCTCAGTCAACACGACATCACCCATTTTACCTCTCCACCCCATACACCTGAACATAACAGCCTAGCTGAGCGGCGTCATCGTCATATTACCACCACCGGGCTTTCATTATTACATTACTCAAATGTGCCCATTACATATTGGCCGTATGCATTCCAAACTGCCGTGTACCTTATGAACCGAATGCCCACACCAACCCTTAATTACAAATCACCCTACTCTATCTTACACAATAAACAACCCAACTACCGAAAATTACGCCCATTTGGGTGTCTATGTTACCCCTGGCTTCGACCCTACGCCACCACTAAACTTGATACCCGCTCTCACCCCTGTGTCTTCCTTGGGTATTCGATCCCTCAGTCAGTCTGCATACTACTGCCTAGAACCCCTCTCTGGTCGTGTTTTTGTTTCGCGACATGTTCGTTTTGTCGAGTCCCAATTTCCCTTCAAAAATCTGGCACTTTCTCCCCCGCATGCAACGTCGACTACTACACGCACGCATGCAGATGTTCTTCCTGCATGGTCAACGTCTGCCCCTGGGTCCGTGCCTACCCTCTCTTCTCTCACCAACTTTCAATTTCAAAATTCAAACCCAAATAATATTCCCCCCACTACCTCGGATGTACCGCACGAAAATCTCGGCGGCACACCTCTACCCGATCCCCCCAATTTAAGTCTCCCTAGCCCCACCTCTCACTTAAATCCCTCCCCCACCTTCCTGGAGCCAGCTCATCAGCCGTATACTAACTCCCCCATATCAACCCAAATATCTCCTCATTCATCACCCCAACCAAATATCTCTCCCACATCCAATCCTTCATCATTACACACTCTTTCCTTCAACACTCCAACCTCAAATTCCCCAAATAATTCCCACCATCCAACTCTGGGTACGACACCGACTCCCCCACCCCGTCCAGCAAGGTTACGCAAGCCAAACACAAAATATCTAGGAGACCCATATATCAATAACACCCATGCTACCTACATCGTACCCACCCTTGAACCCACATGTGTGAAACAAGCTCTTGCCGACCCCAACTGGAAGCAAGCCATGCATGAAGAATTTGCGGCTCTTACCCGCAATCATACATGGGACTTAGTTCCGTGTACAGCTCAACCTCCCATCTCATGCAAATGGCTATACCGCATCAAGAGGCATCCCGACGGCTCTATCTCTCGGTACAAGGCTCGACTTGTTGCTCGTGGCTTTATGCAACAACCCGGGCGTGACTATTCGGACACCTTCAGTCCGGTGACCAAACCGGCAACAGTCCGACTCATTCTGTCTATTGCTTTGGCACGTGGGTGGTGCCTCCGGCAACTTGATGTCAACAATGCCTTCCTCCATGGCACTCTTGAAGAGGAAGTCTACATGACTCAACCCCCGGGATTTGTTGATCCTAAATTTCCCAAGCATGTCTGCCGGCTTCGGAAATCATTGTATGGACTCAAGCAAGCTCCAAGAGCTTGGTACATGGAACTTTCCCGGTTCCTTGTTTCCGCCGGGTTTCGGCGATCCCGCGCGGATGCGTCTTTGTTCATATACAACCATACTAACGTTCACATTTATTTTCTTGTTTATGTTGATGATATTGTCATAACAGGAAACAACTCAGAGGCACTTGACTCGTTTATCTCCAAACTTACTGCACGCTTTTCGGTCAAAGACCTTGGTTCATTGCATCACTTTTTGGGGATTGAAGTTATCCCTTACACTGGAGGCCTATTTCTTTCTCAGAGACAATACATTGCACACATCCTCGAGTCATGCAATATGGCCACCGCCAAAGCAACATCAACACCCATGAGCAGCACATTCTCATCTCTCTCGGCACCAGAAGATGGGGCGGCTGACCCCACGCAATACCGGCGTACACTAGGACTACTTCAATATCTAGCGTTCACACGCCCGGATATATCATTCGCCGTCAATAAACTTTCCCAGTACATGCAGCAACCTTCCATGTCTCACTGGCAGGCCGTCAAGCGTATTTTACGCTACCTCAAGGGAACTATTGACTTTGGGCTAGTTCTTCGGCGGTCCACCGGACTTCATCTCTCGGCATTCTCTGACTCCGATTGGGGTGGAATTCACGATCACGGACGGTCTACAACAGCCTATGTCTTGTACCTTGGATCTAATATCATATCTTGGAAGTCGGCAAAACAAAAATGCGTCGCTAGATCCTCTACGGAGGCAGAGTACCGGGCAGTGGCCAATGCTAGTGCCGAGCTCATGTGGGTCCGGCATCTTCTCCATGACCTCGGCGTCCCTCTTACCACTACACCTACACTCCACTGTGACAACTTGGGAGCTACCTACGTGTGTGCCAATCCTGTTTTCCATTCACGAATGAAGCACTTAGCATTGGATTACTTCTTTGTTCGGGATCTTGTGGAAAAAGGACTCCTCAAAGTTACTCATATATCTACAAAGTTACAAATAGCAGATGTCCTGACTAAGCCACTTGCGAGACCTCAGTTTGAAGCATTTCGGACCAAGATGGGAGTTTCCAATGGAACCTCCATCTTGCGGGGGCGTATTAACAAATAATACGTTACACATATTTTATTATATTCATTTACGTATATAATCTTGTATTTAATATCATTTGTACACTTACCTTTAGCATAGCATAACTGTAGCCTAAATATTAGGATCTCATTTGTACACTTACCTTTAGCATAGCATAACCGTAGCTAAATATTAGGATCTTGTCTTACATAGTCATGAGATAAGCTCTCCTCATATTGTATATATATACGTAAGTACTCGGCACTTCGTATGTACTAATAATATAGAATACTTTTCCAATTCTCCTTATTCATCTTTATACTTTACCTCAATCTCCTTTCCTTCAACGCATCCCTGGATATAGTGTGTATCATTACACTTGATTCGGTCATAGAACACTGAATTCTTTTCCTATGCTATTGGGGACTTATTATTCACCAATACGTGAGTTGATAGCAACGTATTCAGCTTCACTAGTGAGAATCACAACTGATTGCTTCTTTGAACTCCAAGTAAAACCATATTACTCATAGTTTAAGAAATAAAAATTCGATTGTACTCTAACGATCATCGACATCTCTGGCCCAATGACTATCACTATAGCCAACAAGCTTTAAACCTTTGCAAGAATTATAAAACAAGTCAAAGTTAAGAATATCTTTGATGTATCGAAGAATGCTCTTGGCGGCCTTCCAAGGAGTGGTTCTTGGATCTTAATAAAACGACTAATGAGACCAACTCCATATAAAATATCAGGCCTCGCACAAGTCAAGTATTTTAAGCTCCCAACTAAGCTTTAAAACATTGTGAGTTTCACTTTTTCCTCAACACCAAATTTAGATAATTTTACCCCACAATCCAGTCGTGTATTGATTAGATTACAACCATTCTTTTTAAACTTGTCAAGGATTTCTTTTCACACATGTAACACTTGAGAACTCATCAGCTAAGAACTCCAAAGTTAAGCGTGCTTGCACGGGAGTAGTCTTGGGATGGGTGACCCCCGGGAAGTTTCTTAGGGCCCTCACGAGTGAGGACAAAGTGCGCGGAAAAGGCTAGTGGCGGTTAGTGAGGACAGTACTAGAGGTCTGGAGGGTGTGTAGGAGTAACTAACTCGGGCCCTACGGGGTGGGGTGTTACATGTGGTATCAGAGCAACCCTGCAACAGTGTGCTGATCCGTTGGATATCGGGTGGGCACTTAGCAGGGGAGGATTTTGAGATTTGATTGAGATTTGAGATTGGCTTATGGGCGCAACGAGGACTTTGCGTTCCTAAGTGGGGGTGATTGTAACATTTGAGATTTAATTTAAACGGATTAATAATACTACTCATACAACCAAGGTGCATCTCCTTTTAAGGGAGCTCATCAGCTAAGAACTTCAAAGTTAAGCGTGCTTGCACGGGAGTAGTCTTGGGATGGGTGACCCCCTGGGAAGTTTCTCAGGGCGCGCATGAGTGAGGACAAAGGGCGCGGTAAAGGTTCGTGATGGTTTGTGAGCACAGTACTAGAGTTCTGGAGTAACTACTTCGGGTCCTACAGGGCCCACGGGGTGTTACAACACCCTTCTAGACTGATGAAAATTCCACTTCACATTGTTTGAGATCAGGTCAATTCCCAAATAATAAGACATTTAAGTCCATATCAGTCATTTAAAATTCTTGATTGATTGTCGTTTTTAAATCCTCAAACAAACTAGGATCGTTTCCCGTGAATATTAGATCATCAACATAGAGGAAAACGATCAAGATATCTTCAATTTTCTCCTTTTTGACATAAAGAGCATGTTCACGGGGAAACTTTATAAAACTATTTACTTGAATATACTTATCAAATCTAGTATTCCAAGTTCTTCGGACTTGCTTCAAACCATAAAGTACCTTTTTCAATTTTAGAACTTTGTGTGAAATAATGGAACATGTTACTCGCTAAGGAGCCCTGACAGTTCTATTTATAATAAAGAGTTGTAAATGTAAAGTACAAGAATATCCCTAGACTATTACACCCTCTCAAGTTGTGCAGGAGGAGCAATGCGCAAGTTGTCTTTTAAAAAATGAAATTTTTGACTAGGGAGACTTTTTGTAAAAATATCTGCCAACTGTAGATGAGTGGGAACATATCGAACAATCAAATCACTATGACCTACTCTTACTCGAACAAAATGATAGTCAATCTGAATGTGCTTATTTTGGGTATGTTGAACTTGCT